AATAATATGCATAAGATGTCATCTATGCAGACAATATATTTAGCTGTTGTCATCTGGATATTACAGCTCATCTGGATATCGTCAGCACATGATACGAAGTGAAAACAATAGAAGTGATTGTTATAGGTATATAAGCTTGTTATTACTATAACAATCACTTCTATTGTTTTCACTTCGCATCATCTGCTGACGGCATCCAGATGAGCTGAAATATCCAGATGACGGTAGCTAAATATATTGTCTGCATCTATGTGGTTGAGTAAACTACATTTTATTTTGTAAATAAAAAATGATATAATGTTTCATTAGTAATGGGACATAAGGTGTTTATTCATACCTCTTACGTCCGTGCGAGCCAAATAATAAATCATAAAAAGTAACACGAGAATTATCTAAATTTATCAAAAAAAAATGCATTTTATCTGTGCATATAATAGATTAAACATAAGACTGAGCCTTTACTTCACCACAAAAAATTTAAAATTCTCATTTGTCACATCACTTGTAGCACAATAACATTTCTCGCAATTGAAGTTGGCTGAACACAAAAATGATTGAAAAAACTAAAATCGGACCATTTCGCACTGAAAAGATTGCTCCGGAAGGTGAAAGAGTCTTTTTAAAAATTTATATCATTTTTTTAATTCATTTAAATTTCCGATTTTAATAAAGGTGGTTTTGGCTATTTGGTTGCGCTCGGATTGGCTGTAACAGCTGTAAATTTTAAAACCAATTTATAGAAAACGTACGAAATTCCTTTCATTTATATTTCGTAGGCTTTTTATTTGGGTCTCTTTGCAACGTTTGGATTGCTTTTTAATGATTTTTTGATAAGTGTGGGTGCTGGCACATCTTCTGTAACTCTAATTCTTGGGGTTTTTAAACTTTGTTCGAGCTTCATGGGTCTATTGGTGGGAGCTTTAATAAAAAAATTTACATTGCGACCGGTTGGATTATTTGGAGCGGTCGTTTACGTTGCGGGCAGTATAAGTGTAATATTTGCAACTTCTGTTACGCATTTAATTATTTCAATTGGGATTTTACAAGGTAGTGACAACATCTAAACCAGATCTGCACAAAAATTGACTAATAAATAAAAATAATTTAGGCTCAGGCATGGGATTGATGATTCCTGTTGTATATGGAACCTTCAATCAATACTTTGTGAAAAAGCGCATCTTTGTCATGAGTGTGACGCAAATTGTTAAGGGCGCCCTGGTAACGGTTCAACCAATTCTCGTACAATATTTAATGGAAAAATACGGCTTTCGTGGCACACTAGCTGTACTCGCTTTAATGCAAGGACATGTAATTATTGCATTGTATCTTATGCAACCTGTTGAATGGCACTACAGGCGCACTCAAGTTCCAATTGAAGCATCAGAATCTTGTAAATTTATGAATATTTTTGAGATTGATTGTTTTTACATTATATTTTGTCATTTGTATTTGTAGTTATCAATTCAGACAAGAAAGACGTCGAAATTGATGTAGTTTCGAAAACAGAATTAGATAAAATAAACGAAGAAGATGACAATGAAATGATGCCAATAAAATCTGAACGAAGTATATCATATGTATTACCGCAGGATCTGAACGATTTCAATTCAATTCAAAAGCGCGTTTCAAGTATCATGAGTCTGGGCGATGTGAGGGGTGTGTTTGTTTTGGAGGAAAAGTTGGCCAAAAAAGGAATTTGGTATGAATGCTGCGACTGAGTTTCGTTTTATGAGTAGTCATCATGAATATAATTTTCGAAAACATTTTTTTAAAGGCAAAAAATCGTTAAATTACTTGATTTGAACCTGTTGAATGATTTCATTTATCTCAATGTTGTTATCGCTATCACGATGTCATGGTATGTAGACAATACACTGTTTGCATTGTTGCCGATGTATTTATTTGAATTAGGATTTTCAAAGGTGACGTTTTATGATAAAATTTGTATGTTACGACCAAAAATTCCAATTTAATAAATCTTTCTATTTTGTAAAGAATGACGCGGCAAAAATTCTCTCATTTGGATCTGGTGCCGATTTATGTTCTCGTATTTTTCTGGCTATTGTCAGCTACTGGATTGAATTGAGGGCACGCTATATCTTTTTAACTGCAGCAATAGTCATAGTTTTCGTGAGAATTGGTGCGTTTAAAATGTGAATTGGTTTTGAGTTATTTCAAAATGAGAATATCATTCTAACTATTTTGTTCCAGGTTTAATGTATGTCTTTGATTTTTACGGAATTGGCATCGTAGTGGTGGTAATTGGGTTTTTGCGCGCTTGGTTTTTTGTAACACCTCCATTAATTATCGCCGAACTATTAGAATCAGAGAAGTAAATATACAACTACAATTTGGATATTGTCATCAAGTGAAAAATTTTTTTTGTAGATTTGCAGCTGGTCTGGGCTTATTCCTTTTTATTGAAGGAAATCTTGCTTTTCTCCTGTCACCCTTAACGGGATGGATCCGTGATACAACCAAATCGTATCCCATATGTTTTAATACACTTACGTTGATTTTTGGTTTGTGTACAGTGTCGTGGATAGGAGAAATGATATGGTTCCGATTTTTCGCTCAAAAAACAAAAAGAGTTGAACAACAACCATAAAAGAATTTTTATGTTGATTTATTTACTTGATTATTTTAATCTATTTTGACAATGTAGGTGCAAAATAAATAAAAATATGCATATCATTACCATAAATATAAATAGATAAGATATATACAACTCTTAAAAGGTCAAATCGTCTTTAATTTGTATATGACAATTCTGAAAACACACAAACATGTGAATCGTTGCGGCGAAACAGTAGCTCTTATTTTTCTCCAAATAATACTGCAACATGAAGTTTTTTTCACACGGTTTATTTGTTGTAATACAACTATTCATAAAAAAATTTATGTTGCAGTATTATTTGGAGAAAAATAAGAGCTACTCTTTCGCCGCAACGATTCATGTCATCAATTTATTTGAATATCTGCGAGTATTCACAATAATAGAATATAAAGATGAAAATTTCGTTAAAAGAATAAAACTTCTAGTCTAGACTGATTTTGATTAATTATTATTTACGTATTGCAAGCTGTAATAATTCAAAAAGTTGTCTGCACAGTGCACATACTAAAATAGCTATTAGTTAGTATCAAAATCAACATTTTATTTATATCGAAACAGGTTCATAGCCTTCGCCGAATACCAGGTCACTATAACTTTAAGGTTGACAACATATCGATACATTATTTTCCAATTGAATCATTGAATGAATTGATTTGTCGCATTAGTACGAACAGAAGTCGAAGTATTATTGCAGCAAAGTAAATTATCGAGTGGAGTACCAAAATCCAAGCTCCAAGAAAAAAAAATTGACTCACAACTGTGTTTGATCAAAAAAGTGCTCAATGCTGAAATTCATCAATGAAGAAGAATATCTGAATTTTGGTGAACCAAGTCTGAGTCAAATACATAAAAAGTATAAAAAACCATATGTGTGTGTAAATATAATCTAAATAAAGATAAATAGATAAGAGTCGTTAAATAAATGAAGAAAAGTTACACCTTCCATCAAATACAAAAACACTCATCATTTCAATTTATCTTTATAATTCCATTGAAAAAAAGCTAATTCATAACAATTATTATTCAGCATTATTGTCTGGTAGCAAAAGTAAATAAATATTTGGCAATCATTCTCTTCGACTTTATCTTAGCAAAATTTTATCTAATTAGATTAAAATTCATTGAAATAGATAAAATATTAGTACATAAAATGCCATATGAAACTTCCAGTAGCTGTCTGTATAGGTCCCGTTAGTAGTGGTCTTGTGGTTGAAGTTATCGAAACGTGAAATTGAAAATGGACGAAACTATTACAAATGGAAAATTCCGTACTAAAAAAGTGGCCCCGGAAGGTGAAAATCCCCAATGATTCTGGTTATTATTTATTTTTAATATTTTACTATTACTTTCTTATAGGTGGCTGGGGTTACTTTGTAGGAATTGGTTTATCGATATTTTTTGTAAGCAGAAACACAATTAAATTACTTGCAATGAATAAAACCTATAGATATATGATTTCAGGCATTATACATGGGCTCTCTTTTATCATTCGGATTGATGTTCAATGACTTTTTTGCGCAATTAAATGTCGGCACTAGCGCCGTTACAATTGTGCACGGTGCATTCTTTAGCTCGATGAGTTTTGCATGTTTATTTTCAAGCACTTTATTCAAAAAGTTTTCAATGCGATCCATTGGACTCTTCGGTGCATTTGTTTATTTTTTTGGCAGTTTAATGACGATATTTGTTTATTCTGTTGAACAATTGATTGTTTCATTTGGTGTTTTGCAAGGTAAGAAATACAGCTAAAAAACAGCTTCTTTATAAAAAATGAATGATAAAGCGTTGTCTATTTGGGCTCTATTTATCTCTTCTAATATAAGGATCGGGAATTGGCTTCATGGCACCGGTTGGTTACAGTGTTTTTAATCAATATTTTGTGAAAAAACGTGTATTCATGATGGGGATAGCTCAAACCTTTAAAGGGATTATAATCATGTTGTATCCAATGGCCACGCAATTCCTTCTGAATAAATACGGTTTTCGTGGAACATTGGTCGTTATTGCTGCCATTAACGCGCATACAATTTTGGGGATGTTGGTCATGCAACCCATCGAATGGCATTATAAAGAGACGAAAGTTCCCGTTGATCATCCAAATGATGAAGATGACGATGACGATGACGATGATGACGACAAAGATCCTTGTAAATTATTTTAATCTTTTTAACTCAAACGATGGAATTTGTTGTTTACAATCAACATTTTATGATATATTTTTATCATATTTTCAGTCGTGATTTCGTATGACAATAAACTTGATGTGAAAGTCAATGTCATATCAGAAGATGGGGAATATGAATATGAACAAACTAAATTACCGTGCGATGTGAATAGTGCCAGAGTAAAAAAAATCAGTCTGCCAAATCGTGGAACATCGAATAATTCAATTTACATGAAATGTGAACGTAGCAAATCATTAGATCCAACACAGAAACTTGATGGATTCAAACCAATTCGGAGACGTATGTCAAGTGTGATGAGCATCGGTGATTTTGATGGTGTGAAGTTTTTAAATCGTACAAAAAAAGGAAAAATGTAAGCAAAGTGAAAAACTTTACAAACAACAGAAACCTGTTCAATTTTCATTCTTTCTAGGCGTAAAGTAATCGATTTCCTTGATCTGACACTTCTGAAAGACTTAGTCTATGTGAATATTGTACTAGGTAATGTTGTACACTTTGTGTAGTTTCAGTGTGTTCACATTTCACAATTGATGTTTTTTCAATTTATGTTTCTTTTTTTTCTTCTCTTCGCTATCGATTATAAGGTATCTCTTTTGGATTGTATTCTGATAATACGTTCTTCGCGCTGCTTCCGATGTACCTCTTTGAATTGCATTTTTCACAGGCAAGTTTTCGAATTCAACTTTGCGCCATCTGTTATTTCAGCAAGAAACCATTTTTCCATTTATTTTGATATTTTAAATTTTTCAACAGCCCGATGTTGCTATGATTGTCTCATGCGGTTCTGCTGCTGATTTGGCTTCGAGAGTATGTCTTGCCATCATTAGTTTATTTGTTGAAGTAAAGGCGCGTAATATTTTTTGGGCCGGATCAATAGCTGTAGTTTTAACTCGATTCGGTAATTTTGCAAATAATTCAGGGCACCGTTCAAGTCATAATGAGAAGATTTTTTCCACATTTAAGTTTTTCTGAATATAACCAGTGTCAGTGGAATGGTGGTAATTGTGGCTGTCTTGGGATTCTTTCGCACGTGGCTTCATGTACCCATATCTCTTGTTTTTGCTGATCACTTGGCACCAGAACGGTTAGTATTAATGTTTGTTTTCTTCTGATTTTGCAAGTTTTTTTTAAATATATTATTATTGTAATCTTTAATTTGTAGATTCCCAGCTGGTTATTCTTTATTTATGTTTTTTCAAGGTAATATTTTTTCTGTAATGTGTATTTAATCCAACGTAATAATGTTCGATAACAATTCGTTTAAAGGAAATTTCGCCTTTTTGATCGGACCCTTCATCGGATGGATTCGTGATTTTACCAAAAGTTATATTGTTTGCTTCAATTCATTAAGTTTCATATTGTGTTTGTGTGTATTTCCATGGCTGATTGAAGCGATCTGGATGAGGATGCATTCACGCAAAAAAAGAAATACCAGCACGAGTTGAACAGATATATTGATACAATTTAATGATTTGTTTTTAAATCCTGTAAATAAAATTCTAGTAATTTAATTTGTACAATTTTTGCTTTGAAAATCAATGAATAGTTGCCACCTTGAATGAAGATAGGATATAGAAATTTTGAATATTCATTATTTCTGGTGTAGTTAAAAAAGTTTACAAAGTTCGTTTGATCTACTTTCCTTGATATTTATTTGTATTCAATGTAAAAGACCATTTTTTTAGTGATAAATGAGGTAAATGTCAATGCATATTTGCAATTCATGTTTATTGAGTCTTATTCAATGCGAATGGTTATCGGATACGATTTCTTTAAACTTTATTGTTAAGTTTACATTGAATTAAAATCAGCCCGAAATTTATAAAGTCAGCCATGCTTCGAACACGTTTCGAAAGATTTAAATGGATTAGTTTTTTATGGATGGCAATTAAAATAATTACCTATTAATTGGCATTCAATTATTCCAACTGCTTTACACTGAGGTCAGTAATGTCGTCAATTCATTTGCCTATTTGCTCAAGTACTGCGAAATAATAAATTGCGTTTTCATCTATTAATTAGACCAAAGTAAAATAAAACACTGTTGTAAAATATGTAAATAAATAAAAAATCGTTTTTCTGTTCAGTTTTGAATTGAATGATTTAATTCAATTGCTAATTGTATATTCGTTCATTTTTTTGTAATTTTTCCCTGTCACTTTGTGCGACGTTGCTTTGAATATTAAAACTAAAGGCTATGGAATATTTTCGGTTTTCCATTCGAGCGAATAAATTATATATAGAGCATGCTGAGACATTTAAACCGTCCATTTACAACCAGCGCCATTGCACATTCTACGTAGAATGACACAAACGTGATTGTTGGTCACAATTAATTTAAATGCTATAAACAAAATCTTATAACTACGAGAACTTAAAGATTTCGAATATTTATAAATATTCCGGCGATAACTATACTTAGCCTACTTGAAGGATTCTTTTTTTTTCTAAAATGCTAGTAAACTTTCTCCATCACTTATATGCTAAAACGCTTGAATTTGATATATATTTTGACTAATCGATTAATTAAAAAAAAATTCTAAACGACAACACGTTTCCGTGGTTCAATTTCAATTCGGAAACCGTCAGTACGTTTCAAAATGATGTCGGCTTGAAGTTTGAAATCGTCTTGGGTCAACGATGATTTAATTCGGTAATTACGCAAAATGGTCGAAAGCAACACTTTCAATTTCAACATGGCATATTTACGACCGACACAACTTCGTGGACCGGCACTAAATGGAATGAAACTGTAGTAATGACGGTTTTGTGTGCGTTCCGGCAAGAAATTGTCGGGATCGAAACGGTCCGGATTGGCGTAAATGTCTGGGCGACGATGGATTTTATAGGTTCCAACAACGACTGCAAAAAATAAATGTTATGTAATTTTCATTTCTATTCATATTCAATCCAAATTTGTCGATACTCACCTGTGGTACCAGCCGGTACAATATAATCTTCTGAAGCCAATTGAATATCTTGATTCACTTTACGGGCAATCATTGGCACTGGTGGATATAAACGCAATGATTCCATAATGACGCGTTCCAAATATTTCATTTCCATTGTATCATTGAAGGTTGCTTCGCGATCTGAATCACCAAAGATTTGATAAATTTCCTTGTATACGCGATCTTGAATGTTTTGATGAATGCCCAACAAGCACAAAACGAAACTTGAACCGGCCGCTGTGGTGTCGTGTCCTTCAAACATCTAAAATTAGAAGGAAATAATTTTCAATTAAAAACATTACTTTTCACTTTTTAGACATAAATCAAATGAAGATGTTGATTATTCTTATGTTAAAAAGACCAAAAAAAGGCTTGGAATACAAAGTTGAGTCGATGCTAACAACATTTCAAATTGTTAGAAAAAAAGCAATACCATGAAATAAAACAACTCATCAACTGAGCATAAATTCAAATGAACAATTACAATAATGTGAAATGAACCGAATAGGCAATAACAAAACTACTAAATAAAGATAAAAAAGACTCACAATCGTGTCCACCTCCTGTTTAATGTCTTCGTCACTTAGATTTGCGCCGTTCTTCGCTGATTCAATCATCAAATCCAAGAAGGCTAGACGACGTTTTTCACCTTGGGACGAAAAATATGAACATTTTGTCAGTGGTTTTTCTTTCGCTTTAAACTTTTTTGAATTCTCTGCTTCCTGCCAAATAATATTCGATACTTACCGACATCATTTTCGTCGATGTCATCCAAATCATCACGCAATCCTTCGGTTTTTTTAGTTGGTTTCGATGGAACAACATAATCGTTAGCAATGATTTCGGAAAGCGATGGAGTTGGAACGTTTCCTTCTTTATAATTCTTTTCGAAAAGTCGTTTCTTTTCTTTGATAACACGTTTCGTCAAACCGTGGATTGTGTTCAATAGTTCTTCTTGCTTTTCCTTGATTTTTGTCAAATTGAAAATTGCATCGAAACGCAAATAAACTTTTACGTGACGAGCATGTAAAATATCACACATTTTCATGACAGCCTGTGTTTTTGGAAATTATTTCGAAATTTAGTCATTTTCACAAATTATTTTCAATAGCGTTTTTTAGTTACCATGGCATATTTGAAACCATCATCGTCTTTTCCAATACGTTTGTGTCCCATTGCGGTTTCTAAATTATTCAACAAAAATTCCAGTTTGAGTCATTGGTCAAAAACTATTCATTTCAGTTTAAAATAAAAGTGCTTACCCAACAAAATATCAACCGTGGTCTCGCTCATGTAATCGTGAATGTCAAAAACTTTGCCCATTTCTTTTTCAAGACGTTTAACCACATTCAAGCTGTTACTGTTGAATGTTGGAATGAATGATTTCAAAACATTTTGATGGAAAGCTGGTGCAATGAGTTTTCTGTGTGAGCGCCAATGCTCACCGCTGCTAATTAGCAAACCATTTCCCAACCATGGTTGGAAGAAGCGATATTCATCTGATTTGTCAAGATGTACATGACTGCCGAGAATGATTTCAACGTCCTTTGGATTGGTTAAGAAAACGACCAATTTTGGTCCAATCCAAATACGTGCAAGATTCGTATAAACTTTGCTCAATTCAAGAGCCAATTCGAGAATTTCTTTTATTCAAAATGAAACGAAAAAAAAGAGAATGAAACGAAATCGCACACAATGAATTTCACATAATTGTTGGATTAAATTTTTTTAATTTTCGTTACCGTTGTGTGTTTTATTCCAAACGTAATGCGCATTTCCGATGATTGGCAATGTAGGTGGGCCGGGAATTTTATTGCCAATTTTTGCTATTCGTCGACTTTGAAGATATACATGCAATAATGCCAAACTGATTGTTACAAAAATCAATGGCAAAATCAATGGAAACGTATAACCTCCAGCAGAGCGAATGGTATCGCCTGCGAGATGTTCAACATCCAAACCCATTTGTTAAATTCAAACACGGTTTATCACACACAATTTATCACGAACACAACGTTTAACTGGTTACACTTAAAAACTAATCCACTATTGTTGAGTGATTGATTCAACACTTTAAAACAAATTAATCGGAAAAATATTTTGTAAGCCTCTTTTATACCGAACAACAATGAAAATCAAATTGAATAATTACTATGCTTCGAAGTTCTTTTGCTTTCAAATTACATTTGCATTTTCATTAATTACTCATTTCATATGCAAAATAAGTTCAGGATTCAAACTACCGTTCAATGTGATTTACCGATAAATTTACAATTCGGACTCTGCACAGTGTGCACTTAACAAATTAACTGTGTGTGGATTTTATTATCAAGACGGTTGAGTATATTCACAGTGACTGCCGTAATTCAAATTAATCAAATGTCGATCAGCACTTCGCATAAATAAACAACGACGTAGCCTACGTGACAAACACAATGGCCAAATGTATTCTCAATATGCGTTCTTCATATTTTTGGTTCGATTCGAATATGCACTTATCACTGCAAGAATAATTTCAGTGGGTTTTTTTTCCACGGAAAAATTTATTTTTGCTTCGCCAAAAGTCGCATAACAACTATTGGTTTGTGCTGAATTTCTGTTGTGGTCAATTAAATTACCAAAAACTATTCAAATTGATGAGTTATATCTACAATTGGATACGATTAACTTGTTCAACTGGTTCAATAACCTGGATTATAATTTCTAATTAATTATCCATACAGGCCGTTTGTACTATTTTAAAATATAACATACGTGTGGCTTCACGTTTATACTGGAATCTTACATTTATGGAAAAAATCCTCTGATTTAGAACAACGAGTTTAATACCTTAATGGCACCGTTATAAACCCAATACTAATGAGTTCAAACGTTATAGTACTTCAATTTTTGATCAACAAATAGTTATTTATTTTGTATTCGCAGAAACATAAATACCCATGGAATGGCAGTGTAGTCAAACTCGTCTATATTTAAAAATACACGTCTTTGTCGTTATAGTCTTTATTTATGATATAAAAATTTAGCTCCGCCGTGGAATATTCATTCATGCACTAATTTCATAGTGCGGCACTATTGGTGCCTATGAAAATTTCCATATCAACCGTGTAAGTATCCAAATCATTCAAATATCATTTTCGTGCCTATTGACATTGGCTTATGATGCTTCTATTTTTATCAAAGTTTTATTTGTTTTATCTTTCTTCTTGTAAAATATTTGATTGAAAATTTAACAATTGTTTATTTTATTTCCCATATGAAAAACTTTCACGCGAACATAGTCAAATTATTTGCCAAAATTGGTCGAAAAAATTTACGGAAAGGATTTTTTAGAAACTTTCAGAAAAACATGCTCAAATCGATTATGAGTCGCTGGTAATTGATGCCATAAAATACATGACGTGCATGTCGACTACGATTTCATAACTAAGAATCTTTTTATATACATAAAACTTCATAAATCATATAATACTTAACGTTGAAAAAGTTGTTTACATTTTGTGACTATTGACATTTTGAATGTGGTGTCGATTTAAATATTTGCCTATGAATATGAATTTGCCTATACGAAGTAACATCATACTTTGAAATCATGCAGAGGCCGCAGGCTAACTACAAAACCACAAATTTTGGAAATTTTGTTTTTAACTTGGTGCATTCAAGTGAAGCAAATTTTTGCATTAAAAGTGGGACAGTCTTACTAAACACATTTCGATACAGTTTTTAATAACATACAAATCGAATTGCGCAAGTTTTTCTAATCGGAATGACAATAGTCTTACGAAATTGACGAATATTAGATTTTATTGAATTAAATGGAAATTGTCATGATTCAACAATTGAATTAACGTTATTCGTTCAATTGCATTACAACCTAGTAATCTACATCGAATAATGACCTTTTTTGTTACTTCATAGCGACTTCAGTTCTGTAAAAGACAAATACATTATTTATTGACAAATCCAACTTCATAGTCAACGTGTTTTTCAGTAAACACAAAAGCATTGCGGGGCAACATTTGTTAGGTTTTGTTTAAAAACCATTATACCGTTTACAATTTGGAAGCTCAGACTTTGCAATGCTTTTGTGTATTATACCAGTTTTAGACATATTGCTCTAAAATATGAACAGCAACGAAATGCATGCGGATATATGCATTTATTTGGGAGAGATCATCTTTTTATTATATAGACAAACTTGAAAAAAGAAAACACATTTTTTAAAAGAAACTTTCAAATAAGAATCTTCTTCCCATTGTATACATTCAAACATTCCGGTGATTTTATATATTCATAAAAAGAATTTTTTTACATTTACATCGTCCTTCGCGTCGAAATAAAAATATGCATTTTTTGGGCTGTGTACTCATAATTTTGCTACATATTTTTTTTTTTTTTTTTTTCAAAATTTGTATGTAAGTGTACAACATTTTGTTTCGAATTGTACCTGGATTTTTTTTTTAAATTGACCCCTTATTTTGGGGGTCCTCATAATTTTGGCCGCGGTAGCGATTTTCTAAATCCAAAATTTTATGTAACGTATTATGGTCTTTAAAAAGTGTACAATATTTTTTTGTTGCAGTCAGTTGCAGTGTGTGTATTCAAATATGCAATGAGACGTTGTGGTTTAATGTTTTCTCGGTCTGTCGATCGAGATGCATTAACCGTGAAAATGTTCGGTTCAAGGAGAGAGATCAATTTGAGGAAGACATATGTTTGAACAGTTATGCAACAATCCGTATGCCGATAATAATATATTTCTAAAGTTCATTTCGTGGCAAATTGAAAATGTAACATTACTTAAAAAGAAAGAATTTTTTTTCTCTTCTCTGCACAAAACTTATCGATATACATTTGTTGAATTCCGAAAGCGAAGAGAAAGCAATAGGACATAAAAAAAATAACAGTATTTGTTGTTCCATTTGAGCTGACAGACATTACAGTAAGCTCTTAAACAAACACAATAAAAGTGAAAAATGCGATGTGAATTGATAAAAAAAAATGCATTTGCACTTTCGCAACGCAACGCAATGCAGAGGGGGAAGAACAATGCAGATATCGATGCTATTGATTTTTCGGATAGAAATTTCATGGTGATCAGTTTTGGCTGAACTGTTATTTTACCATTTGTTAAACTATTGAACTGAACCGAACCCGAACCGTATGCGATTTCTGTTACCGAATGCAACGGCATTTTTTTAATAATTTGTTTTCAGGCACCATACGTTCAATCATAAATCCATTTTTTCCTATGATTATTGTTTTTTATTTTTCTCTCTGAAAAAGTCAATGATTCTCTTGATTTCACCGTGTTTGCTAGCGATTTTTTTTCTTGAACACGTAAAATCATTGTGACAATATGTGAATTATAAAAAGGAACGGATCGAACCTTTTAAAATGCATACGACGAATATGGATGCATTTGAGGGTTGCTTTCATTCTTTTACGAGCGTATTCATTGTGAATGGTAATGTAATTCGAACCGTATGCGACATGGCTTTCGGAGTTGATTCCAATGGATTTGTTTTCTCGTTTCACTTCTCTCATTCATCCTGTTATTGCTCGAAATTTTCCACGATTGCAGAATAAACACACATATGTACGTACGATTTTATTCTGGCATTGAAATGCTTTTTATTTCAGAAAATTACATAGGGAACACGTGTTGCTTATCCATCCAGCGATGTTGAATTGAGATTCAAGTGCTTGCTTCAAAATTATATTTAGATGTGTGTTAAGTGCATTTCATCATCGAAAAGTGTTCGATATATGTAGAGATTTTGATGGTTGTGCTCGCGCACACATGTGGGCTATATCATTGATGACACACTTTATTCCACATTGTGTGCCCAACCGTTCTAATAGTTATCTTTCTACACACACATACAGAGAGCAGTTTACGATTGCATAAGATTCGGTTCATTTTTGTCACACGCAACGAAAATTCATGTGAGCAGACAACATTCAATGGCTTATCCAACACGAAGACAAGCACAAAATGGATTAATGAATCCATATGGATTATATTTATTAATCAACAAGTTTAACATTGAGTCACGAATACCGATCACAACATATCACAACTCGCACAGTGTTGAGATGAGCCCATCATGAATCATTTTTTTCTTTCGTTCTTCACTTTTTTCAGTTGCTCTATGACAAATTTTCTGGATATTATGAAATCTATACCTTTAAAAATATTTTTTTCTGATTTTTTGTGTGGCAAAAGAGAAAATATGGCCAAAGAATCATTCGTTCGGTTTGTTTGTAAGTATTGCAATAAAAGAAACAAATGTTTTATGTTCAAGTTTATTATTCTGGCTATTCTTTGGAGCCAGACACTCAACATATGTTCAAATTCTACACAAAAAAAAAACTCTGAATATGTCACTAAAGGAACAAACACCCATGACGAGAGATCAATAGAATGAAAATGAATGCAATGCCGAATATTCCAAATTATTGACTTTTGTAGCTACTGTTAGTTGTGCAAATTTTGAAGGCGGTCAATGACATTCGCCATCGAGGCGGATATGATTACTGCGAAATAAGACATGGTTTCTTGCTTGGTTTTTTGCACCACTTGAGATCATTCATTTCATTTGAATAAGTATACATCAAATGAATAGGTTGCGCACGTGCAAAGGACGCCTTTGAACTAAAGAACATTTTTTTCCCGACAAAAATCAAGTAAATTCCACTTTGAGCCTCCAAATATGTTAAAATATTTCTTTATTAAAGAACCTTTAGTTTTATTCAATTGAAATTAAAACGAAAGAAGACGTGAAATTGAATCAGCTGAAGAAACAGAGTGTGAGAGATAGAGTAGGCACAGACAACAGGCCAAAGCACTCTATTAGCTATAAAAAGAATATATGATGAAGTAAGCAAAAATGGTTAAACTAACCTACTTCCGTTGGTTTCATGTGTATACAGTGCAAGTCTCAAGTGAAGGACAAAGTACAAAAGAATAATACCGAACCGAAAAAATTCAATTCAGTTGAATAAAATGAATACATGGAATATATCGTCTACGATAATAAAAGAGAAAGAAGCAAAAAAAGCGTCTACAAATATTATATGTATTCTTATGCAAAATGCACACGTACACAGTGAGAATGAGCCACCTCCTCTTTGCATCCTCTTGAATGAGGCACCAAAGAAATCTTCTTCATTCATTTTATTTTCAGCCACTTTTTTGAATATGGATCATAAATGCGATTTTTGAAAATGGAACAAATAGATTAAATTTTGTAATGCATTCGGAAAATAAAGGAACCTTGAACACAATTCATTATTTATTCCAAAATCATTTAAAAAAAAAAAACATTTCCGAATTGCCTTGAACTCGAATTTCATCGAAAAATGTATACGTCAAACAATGACATTCTACTATGAAAAAATGAACTCACCAACACACCAGCGCAAAAAGTACATTCATTTTTTTTATTGAAGTAAAATCTCCGCTGCACCAATTTAATATGAAGGAATTAGAAATTTTAAACAAGAACTGTAACACTGGATGCAGCATTCAGTTTCCGAGCAACGATTTATCTTTTTATTCAACGATCCAAGAGCACCGTTTCACACACGGTAGCACAAAAAACCAAACACACATACACACGGAAACATATTAATAAACTAATTAATGGGTTTACGTTGAAGTTAGAATGTAAAAAACAAAAACATCCAACTAATTGTTATTTATTATTGGTGCATCGGCCTTTTCTGTTTTCTTCTGTGTTTTCATTTTTGTAAAAAGTCGCATCGGTAATTACGTTTGTTCGAACTTTGGTGTGTTTTCTTCTCTTGTTCGCGTTTCAATTCTATTGCTAATTAAACATTTTGCCATTCGGTTATAGATGTGTGCATTTTGCGTTCGGCGCCGACGATTCAATACATTTTATGGGTGTTTCGACGCTTGTCGTTGTAAACTCAATAAATCGTAAATAATTTGCTCCAAATTAAAATCAATTATTCCATTTTTATGGTTATTTTCCGAAGTCTTCTTGCGTATTTACTCAAAATGCCAAAGTTCGATCAGTTTAATATCACCTCTTATGGTAAAGAAAAAAACGAAAGGAAAAATTATGATAATTTGAAGCGCATTTCTTATTATTAGTCCATATTTGAGCAATAGCTCGACTTTTTTACCAGTTTGAATGCAACTCAAAATGATTTGGTACTGGCTCTCACTCTCACAACGGAAATGAAATATTAGATGCGGATTTCATGCATTCAAAAATGAAAAATTCAAGAGTGTAATATAGTATCCAATTTCACTTGTGCTATTCATCATATTTTGATCATGTTTTTCTTCTCGTCGGGTTGGCAGATAAGACTGGCCCGGAAATCTTTATCGTTCACATTCACACATATTGATATGCTAACGTTACCGATGATATTCTAACGCAAATTATTTACCTGTATAAATTGGTAGCAATATATACCTAAGCAAGAAGACAAATGCTTATGACCCGACACTTAGTACACAAATTTATTCTTCTGTATTTTCTAATGATTGTTCATTTGTAATTTCTTGTGTAATTAAAAAAAAGAAGTTAGAAACTGGAAATTTTTGAATACATTGTAAATAATATTTTTTTTTCGTGTGAGGACTTCGATTGCGAATACATTGCACAAGAAAGAATAAAAGTAAACACATACACACATACACACATACACGTTTACGTATTGTTGTACCGACAAAAGGCCAACAATGCACAGACGGCTATCATCGATTGAACTGGGACTCAATGACATCAACTATGAATTAGCGGTGACATCAACTATGAAAATATAGACAAAACTTTTTTTATTGATTTCGATGTTTGCAGTATATATATATATTTTGGGTTAAAATTCAATCCTTTTCACCAATGACGGTCGTGCTCTTGCATCGACAAAGTCATACAAAATGGAAATTATAATTTGGTTGTTTTTTTATTTATCAATGCAATTGCGTCACCCAATGATACTGAACATATTTTAAACACGCGCCATAAATAGCACAATGTTTTGAAATGGAGTGAAACAAACAATAGCTGAAAAAAATGCAAATCATATTTTTCGATGGAAAAAATAAATAAAATCAATACATATGCTTTGCGAATCGTATAAAATACGGTGCAACGTCTTGGCCACTACTCAGTGTATCGTGTATGGTGCTGTGATTTAAATCGCTACCGTTGACAATATCATTAACAGAGGAAATAATTTAAAACATTCATTAACGGTGCAAACATGTGAATTGTCTTTTAAATTCGGTGTTATTTTGATGAACGAAATTTGAAGTGCAGATAATATATCGAATATATAAATATTTTTTTTATTGAAGAATTGTGTGTTTCAGTTTGAAATAATGGCTGAAAATATTTTAACTGTGATGACCCCTCAGACCAGTGGCGTCGGATTTTCGTCCATTTTTATTCTCATCATGTTTATAATACTGGTGATAACGGCCATTCATCTTTTTTATAAATCTCAAGAATCGTTTAAACTTGGCATTCAAATACCTGGTCCCGAACCCATTCCAATATTAGGAAATGCTTTAATGGCTTTAGGAAAATCACCAAATGGTAAGTAGCCGAATTTTGATTTGAAGTGTTTTTGTGACAAGTGATTTTTTTTATTTAACAAAAATCAAAATCAATAGAAATCGTGGAAGAATGTTTGCGACTCGGTGAAATTTACGGTCATGTAGCTCGAGGTTTTCTTGGATACAATGTGGTGGTATTCTTAACTGATCCACGCGACGTAGAATTGATATTGAACAGCAATGTGCATTTGACGAAATCGAGTGAGTATCGATTTTTCAAGCCATGGCTCGGAGATGGTCTATTGATCAGCAGTGGTGAAAAATGGCGTTCACATCGTAAATTGATTGCGCCCACATTTCATCAACTTGTGCTAAAGAGTTTTGTCGGTGCATTCAATCGGAACAGTTGGCGTTTGGTGGAGAGATTACAATCAGAATGTGGCCATGAATTTGATGTACATGATTACATGAGCGAAGTCACCGTCGATATTCTATTAGGTAATGTTATGTTTATTTATTTATGTTAAAGACTTTGCATTTCTTTCGCTGCGATCAATTACTCTATTTGCATAAAAATTGAAACAAAGTATTAAATTCGTTAAATAAAATGATAAACAATTTATTTTGAATGAAAACAAAAAAAAAACAATTTATGTTATAGAAACGGCAATGGGTCACCCAAAAACGCATGATGATCACGAGGGTTATGAATATGCAATGGCTGTCATGAAATTATGCGATATCATTCATCGACGACACAGCACATTTTATTTGCGGCCGGATATAATATTCAATTTGTTGGGCATTAAAAAACAGCATGATACATTGGTGAACACAATTCATAGTCTAACGACAAAAGTTTTAAAAAACAAAAGCGCACAAATGAAAAAATCATTCGAAAGTGGCCAAATGCAAAAGACAACTTACAGCGATTTGATGAATCAAACAACGGATTCAACGACAGTCATTCGTGATGATACCGAAGAAGATCCATTGATCGGTGAAAAAAATCGTCTTGCATTTTTGGATTTAATGCTAGAATCAACGTATTGCGGTGCAGATATATCAGAAATCGAAATTAAAGAAGAAGTGGATACCATAGTGAAGTCTTTTTTGTCCTTTATTAGTAGTTTAGTTATTGTCTATTCGATCTATTTCACATTATTATGATTGTTCATTTCAATTTACACTCACTTGATGAGTAGTTTCGTTTCATGGTCATGGTTTTTTTTCTAACAATTTTAAATGTTTTTAGCTTTATGCTTCAATGTTTTGTATTCCAAGCCTACCTTAAGTCTTTAATATTCATTTTATTCATGTCCTTTTCAGTCTATTTCATTCTATTACAATATATATTGTTGTGATTGTTCATTTGAACTTACTCACAGCAAATGAGTAATAGTTTTTTTTTTCTGTGCGCTTCAAAATACGAGCTAATATGTTTCTTTTAATTTTAGATGTTTGAAGGGCATGATACGACGGCGGCTGGCTCAAGTTTCGTTCTTTGTTTAATGGCATGCCATCAAGATATTCAACAAAAGGTGTATGAGGAACAAAAGCAAATCTTTGGTGATTCAAAACGCTCGGCCACATTTGCCGATACGCTTCAAATGAATTATTTGGAGCGAGTGATCATGGAAACATTGCGACTATATCCACCAGTGCCAGTCATCGCTCGTGAGGTTAAAGAAAATGTTAAATTAGCATCAAAACCTTATACGATTCCAGCTGGATCCACCGTTGTGATTGGAACTTTCAAAATTCATCGACGAAAAGATATTTACGAGAATCCAGACAAATTCAATCCGGATAATTTCCTTCCAGAGCGAACACAAAATCGAAATTACTACGGATTTATTCCATTTAGTGCTGGACCAAGAAGGTAAGTTACGATTCAACTTTATTCTAAATAATGATTTTCAGACAACATTCACACTTTTTTTTTTCACAGTTGTGTTGGCCGAAAGTATGCCATTCTCAAGCTCAAAATTCTACTGTCAACAATTTTGCGCAGTTTCAAAATCTACTCGAGTTGCACGGAAGCCGACTTTAAGCTACAAGCTGACATCATTCTGAAGAGAACGGATGGTTTTCGCATTCGCGTCGAACCGCGATGAGCACATTCTTTTTCCTACATTATATTTTTCGCTTACCAACAATATTATTACTAGATTTAGATAGTGGTATGGTTCGCATTTAGCATTAAATAAAAATGATTTTGATTGAAACAATAAACCATATAAAACCGAACAAATTCTTCGAATAAAAGAAACCGCTAGTCTTTTCTCGCTATGTGTACGATGGTTGTTATTGGTTCCTTGTTTATGGCTCATTTCGATCTATTGTTCAGGTACGTATACTGTTTACTGATGTAGCAAAACGGCGTATGAAAAGGTAATAAACAATAATTATTGAAAGACATTAAATGCGTATGAAAAGAAAATAGAGAGAGAGAGAGAGAAAAACGCGCATGCCGAACTCGTAACAAATGGAAAGAATATAAACTTTGATACACTGAAACAAGAACGGAATTTTAAAAAACTATAGCAAATTATATATCCATTTCTGTCGATGGCTTTCCGCTCAAATAACAACGCACACACACACACACACACACATTCAACCACGTCGATTGCAAAAGGGTAATTTTAGATACGTTGTGCTTTCATTTTAGGGTAGTCAGCGAGGCGAAACACAATCGACACATACAGAAGGAGAGAAAAAAACACGATAATAATAAAATTGTGTTTTAGTAGTCAGTGTTTTTAAATCGAAGGAAACATAAGTGCTGCAATGACTATTTTTTTGTTTCATTCTGTCTCTCTCGATTGTCATGTTTCACTTCATTTGATTACATGATGATTCCGCACGGGAAAAAACTGCGCACCAAAATAAAATTGATCAAACAAAACAGAAACACCAAAAACCACATGCAATTGTCTCTCTTTCTGTCTATTTGCCTGTCTGTTCACATCATCGTCGATCGTTGCCAACTTTGTATGCATTCACTGTCTTTGGTCAAATGCACCCTTGTTACCCGACACAAACGTGCTGGAAAAACGAATTAATAACAAATTGATATCAAAATCGGTTCTCATTGACGTGATCACGTGATGTATTCGTGTCCAGAATGAAATGTTAAATTTCCCAACGATGAGAATATTTTTTTCATTTTAGCAATGTAACCAAATGTATCGAGTTTGTTTGTCCATTATGGAATACCAACTCGAAAATGGACAACTCTCTCACACATAGAATAACAATCCTATGTTTACATTGGAACAATACTTGTAATGGCCTCTTAATGACATTCATCAACTTGAAAATGGATTTCAACCGCTCTTCAGTATCTTGATCAATTTCAAAATTGTCAATTTTCTACCTTGTTTGCACAATTTTTCGAAATAAATGTTTATTTTTTATGTCCGTTACAAGAAATTCACATGTCATGGTAAGGAGCAATCAGAGATTGTGCGAGGGAAAGAAAGCGGGATGGGAAATAAGAGAACAAAAGCCGGTCGGGCGATCGGAAATATGTTTTTTTTAAATAAAAACCTAGAACGAAAAAAGTGAAAAAAAGAAAATTATGCAAATCAATTGTTTTCAAGGCATAAGGCACAAGCAACTCATTTGGGCTTCCATTGAAGCGGTTGCATTCTACAAACCATTGGTGGCATATTTAATGTGGCAAGATGTAAAAGTATAAATAATAAACAATAGAAAAAAAATGGTTCAATGACATTTTGTTTGAGCGAAAGAGAAAGAGAGAAAAGTGACAAACCGAAAACAAAAGCAGAAATATTTTGAGGGCAGGCATTGAAACAACAACAACGGAATAAACAAAAAAATGTTTGATTTTGAATAATAATTTTCTTTGTAAAGAAAAGGATGTTTGTTCAGACAAACAGGGAGCAAAAGAATATGGTTAAAGGTTGGCGCTTTCGTTTAGAACTATGTCGTCTAAAATCAAATCAATTTAAACACCGAATGGTTTTCATTTTCCACCAAAATGCATTTCAATTTCGCTCGGTACACATAAAAGCGAGAAAGCAAACAAAAATTTACCTTCTTTAAAAAAAAACACACACATACAATATTCACGACCAACTTTTTTAGCTGATTGATTTTTCGGATCAAGTCAAATGTACGTTTTAGGAATGGATTTTGGATGCGCAGGTAAATGTACTGTGTGAATGGTGCTGATTTCGAATTAAAAAAAAACTGAAGAAAACATATTATCGGTTCAGTGAATGGGTTAGAGACACATGAGAATGAGAGAAAGAGAGTAACGACCGATGCTCTTGAAGGCAGATTGATGTTAAAGAACTCTTTAAAATTTATTGGGTACTTTGGGAATGCGCAAAATCAATTCGCATTAACATACGACTTTTAAGTAGTTTGAGTGAGCACAAAGTGGATGAATAGTAAATTGCGAATATGAATTATGAATAGAAACCGTCTTGAGCGGGCTTTCAAACGGAAGAAATGATGCAATTAATAATTTACATAACATTTTCCATTTCAAACAGGCTTTTAGATTGTCATCATCATCGGTGAATCATCTTCTTGAAGAGCCAGAACGCATTATCTAAGGGTTTTCGCTTTTTTTTCTCTTTGGGATCGTTTTTTTCATTTTCACTGGAGAAAAATTGTTAACTGACATTACTCGAAGTAAAATTGATGAGATGATGATGTGCACGAAACTGGAATGGATGTGTTCTTTTTTGGTTGACGTTTCGAAACGGGTACCTGAATAAATTAAATGATATTTTTTTTTTTGCTGTTGTTATTACTGATCGTTTTTCATTCGAAGGTAAGGCTATGAAAATATATAAAATGCTCCTAAGGTTCTGGCAACGAGTTTGCTTATTTGGGATTCGAATGATGGCTAAAAAAATCTGGTTTCGGGCGCATATATCACCGAATCATGCGTATTAAGCCGTCGTTGTTGGTTTATTTTTTTTTTCTTTTCCTTCATTGCTCCAAACCATGGATCGCTATAAAAAAGATAGGCGACACACAATTAAATCCGAATCGAAATCGAAGACGAGCTGATTTAGTTTTAGGTAGGTACCGAAAAAGTTACAATAAAATTGTTTGTTGGCGAATAGAGAAAATCGGTCGAAAACGAACATTAGTTACCCTTGGTAATTGTGAGTTTTGTAATTATGATGCATACATTCAGAGCATGACTATGTCCTCTTTGTGATATACAGTCCGTAGCAAAAATCCAAAAGAAACGACTTGCAGCAATTTCAATAAGTAGCTAAATAGCCTGAACACATCAAGATTTATCGATGACCTGGGACGATGAGGTCAAATTTTCACCGAAACTGATTATGTATGCGAACATGCGCCCTACAAATACGCGCTCTAAGCAACAACAAAGAACGAATCAACACAAACTTGAGAAAGGAATAGAAGAAAATTGGTAAAAGGAACCGTTCACAGACACACACACATACTTAGTTTAAACGAAGACAATACACACCGTATTGTTGAATCATACGACGCAAAAGAGCGTCCGTCATCAGTAAGAAGATTACATCATATCATGATTCAGAATATAAAAAAAAATTCGGAATGCTTCATATCGTTTAAGTAACCTAAGGACCTTTATTTTTGGTATTGAAATTTTAAGCGCCAAATGTAGGTAGGTACACGACATAAGAAAAATGATTCATCAGTTAATAAATCTAACGGTTTGGCTAATGAGAAACAACGTGTTTGAGCTGGTATTTTTGGTCAGGCATAATATTTTATTCGTCCATTTGATTTGAAGCCGTGAAATAGATACCCAAAATAAATAAATGACCAGCGCAGCGCTACATGTAAATTTATGAATTGTAGTGTCAATTTCATAGATTGGCCCAAAACCGAGCAACATTATTAAATGAGGTGCATTAAAAGAGTTATTTATTTTCATTTTCTGGTTTTACGCTTTTGTTTTTTTAAGCACTGGCGGTGCCAATTCAACACTCACGAAGGAAAATCACAAACAATAATTTTTTTGTTTTTATTGTGAATCGTCCGAGTGAAAGTTCAAAGGCAAACCAAAAATGATTGCATGCGCTCACATGCATGTCGTTTGTGTTTTTGCGTACACAACAGAGATAAAGCGAAAAAAGGGTGAGCTAGAAATGTCAGGAAAAACACATCAATTTGATATACGATCAATGCAAGACGAGATGTTCTCATCAAAACTGCCAATTCTCACAGATTGACATGCACTTTTGCCTAAATTTATCATTTCGAACGGTTATTGTTCACTGACATTTCATTTGGCATGAGAAAATCCCATTCGAATAAACAGCTACGCGCAAAATGTTTATGCACCAGAAAGGATTTAGTTTTGGTATCTCTTGACTAATTATTTATGAAATCCTCATGAGCAAATACGTGCCGAATATGCTATGAGCATTTGATTTATTCAGACAATGATGCATTTAGTTGAAAAGAATCTACTCGAAAAACCATTTGCTATTAGTATAATCGTATCAAAAGTTCTATGCAAAAATGCCATCTCAATTGAATTGAACCCACTTCAAGTGCGCTGTCAAAATGCATCGAACCAAACGAAAGCATAAAATGAAATAAAAAATTAACTCGTCACGTTTGCAAAAATAAAAAAAACTTCCATTCACTGCATCCATTGTGCAAATCGCTCTCAATGTTCAAATCGATAAAAATTTACATAATAAATATTCTCAAAAAGAGATTCTGATTGAATAAATTCGATGCAACCCCTTTTTTGACAAAGCGAAATAGAAAATTTGCATGAAAATATGTAATTTAGAACGCACACAGCCAATCAAAGGTTGTTTCATTTGTCACCTTTTCTGCCATAACACGATCGGAATAATTGCACATTTGCGCAACCCCATTAGCGATTTGCTGAACGCGCGTTCTTGCATAATTTAATTTAGCTAAACAGTTTCGCATTTTTTTTTGGCACAGGTAAAATATTACAATAGTGCAATATTCTGGTTTTCGTGCAACTTATTTATTATCGAACGCATACGATCGCTGAATTTTATGGTTAGAACAAATATTTAATTCTGCGTTTCTGTAAAATAGAAACTTGTCATTTTTGAACCACAAAATAAACATAAAAATTACAAAAGAACTTCAGAATAAATAATCGGCTTTGCATAAAGTGTTCATTATATATAAAATGCGTGATCATAATTTCATGACAACAGAAGAAAAAAAAAATAACCGAGTGGAATGTTGCTTTCGATAAAACGGATCCGACAATGGAACGAAATGGAAACATAAAAATGAAATAAACAACATTATCATGCATTGACGCGGTGCGAGATAGTATCGAATGCGAAATGCGACATATGGTTTATCCGTTACGAGAGCTCTCTCACATTCAAATTGATCAAAATGCAAACACACAACAACAGCGAACAAACGACATTCGAATATTCTCAAACCGACCATAAAAAGTAACAACATCAATAACCCAAAACGAGAGATCCAGTGACTATCATAGCGACACGTACAACACTAACACACACACACACACTGGCATACAACCCCATATAACAAGGCGATTAAAATTGCCGCATTGACAATGAGGCTGTATATGTGTGCGCTGTGTCGGCAACTATTAAGTGCTCGGCAATGCATAAATTGAAAATGGATTCGATTCGATGTGTGCGTTTCGGCTGCGCAACAAGATAAAAAGGAACATATATATGAGGAGGAAAAAAACACTATCCACAATCCACACACATCTCGTCGAACGTATGGTGGCCAACGTAAAATTCATGTATAAAAAGGATGAAGTGGAAAAATAAACTCAAAAATCAACAACACACACAAACAACATCGATTCTTTTTTTCGTACAAACAAAACAGAAAAATATTATTCAAAACCGAACAGAAGTTCAATGTAAAAATCCAATGTAAATAAACGCGGGCAAAGTGCACATTTTTTTGTTTATTATGATTTCAAATTAAGTCAGACGCACTTTTTTGTCAATTCCCTGATTGAAGTGCGTTCAATCAATATGCCGGTATACATATGTAATATAAATATAGATTGTCAAAAACATCAATTTCCAACGTTTTCCGCTTTTTTGTTTTTCTCCACTTCGATCTTTTCATGTTGTTTTTAAATTAAAATGGAAATTTTCTCGCTCGAAAACATAATTAATATCCTTGAAATGCATTTCCTACAGGCGGTATTGCTACTTTATTGCATTTTAAAACTCTTAAACTGATCTACTTTAAAAGATATATCGAACAAAACATTTTATCTATGATTCATATCTGATTTTCAACAACAACGAAAAAAGAATCATCAAGAAAAATGTTCGACTCGAATGAATGTGTCTGAAGTGAGTCAATATGTTGGAGAATGTGTTACATTAGAAAAATGAGCTCATCAGACATAGATCTTCTTTGTTTAGAGGTTTTTGATCTCTTTTTTCTCTTTTCATTTATGTTCTGCCTTACGAAAATTATAGCTAGCATGTTTTAGATCGAAATATATAATGTGTTTAGACTATACAGTGTGGTCGTTTGTCATTTATGAGAAAATTGTGTATTTTTCCATGAATTTGCGTCATTTTCCTTTTTGGCACGCCTCGCATGATGTGTGAGATTTTTCTCCGAAATACGATGAATAGCTGTATGTTAAACTGTGCGATCGGTGTGTACGCGCAAATTACGCATGTGTGCATGCACATGATTCATAAATTTTTGATGCCAATCAAACTCATTCCCTGCATTGTTCGGTCGATTGGACGGTGCATTTATGAAAAGGCGAATGTATTAACAACGAAATAAATAACGAAATTAAATGAAAGAGAAACGGTGAATGTCATGAATCTTGGTGATCGTCAATTTATTTTTTTCACATTGATATCAACTGTAGAAAATGTCACGGCATGATGTATTGGATTTAATGAACATTGAACACAAAAACACTGTTTGTCATTTACTTGGATTTGTTTTTTTCCTCGATTTTCGGTTCGGTTCGTTCGTTTATTTCTTTTTTTTTCTGTTTTGTTTCATTTAAGTACCACGAGTTGGAAGTTTTCACGTGCGTGCAGAGCGAAAATTGTGTGGTGCGCACATTACTTACTACATACATATCTAAAACTACAGCTACACATGAAATTTATGTAATTAGAAGCGTTGATATGGGGTCGCTGTTTCTGCTTCGTTCCACTGTTTTTCATTAGGTGAATTATTGTACAGTGCTTTTGTGCGTTTTTGTGCGCTCCTGGCTTTTTATTCGGCACAATTATTATTATATATTTTTTTTTTCCTTTTTACCATTTCGGGGTCTTGTACTCGATCCCTCTGCGCATTCGATGCCTATGTAACACGCACACACTCGCATTGGCTGTAAATGAATATGGTAGGTAATGCGCTCATGTATACAATTTTACTCAAATTTCGGGATCGGAGAACAATAATGAACGTTAGTTGTAGCAATGAATTGGCAACCTATTCAATTTCAGATCCGAAAGAGAGACCCTTTTCACAGAAATTACAATCGAACAATGCACGGCATAAACGAACGAAACGAATGTGTGGATGAAGAAGATGAAAAAAAAAATCCAACAACAATAAGCAAAATATATTTTCATTTTACACGTGAAATTATTTACCGTTTCATTGCAATATATCTTGCTGCTGCATACGAAAGAGAAGTTGAATGTGCGCCACGCCAGCACCTCTGAATATATGCATTTGAATGCACGAAAATTTATGTGTTTACATTTTGCACAGCTATGAGCGGTGCTCACTTTCGCTTCGAATGCACAAAAGTTGCGAAAAGCAACGAGATAATAAGGAATCGAATCGAATTCGGAAGGACTTTTTCGCCAAGGATATAAAAATCGACTGAACAAATATTAAATTTGGTTTGGCTCAAGTGACTCGTAATGTTCTGAGAAAAAAAGAAACTGATCAACTTTAATTGCGATCATTCATGGCTGGGTTTTATGAGTGTCGTTAGAATTTTATTGCTCTTTTAGTGAAACATTCAAATTAAATGGAGGCAGTTAAGAATCGCATATTATGTCTTCGTCGGGACGATTCATCTGTCTCGATTTGCGTAACAAACGACACGATAATTGTCTAAAAGGAAACATTTGGCTTCAAATAAAACTGCTGATGATGGTTGGACACACAACGATAATGCGAATCGAACACTTTTTGATGAATTGTTTCGATTTTTTTTTCTCCGTTTTGCTGCTCACATATCAAATGAAAAATATACACTGTCATTTTTGTCGCCCGGCACGACGTTTTGTTATTGTCACACATAGCGTATTGATATGGAATCGCATGCGTAGAAAATCTCTGTCACTAATTCCAAATTATATAGCTTGGCATTTGCTCTGAATGAAAGCCATTGTTTCTTATTACATTTGGAAAGACTAGCAAGAGATAGAGAGAAACGGAATTGTCATTGAAATGTTCGGGTGTTATTCGATCGATTTGTTAAGGGAATTTTGGCATCAAAATTTATTTTCTCTTTTCTCTATATTTTATGCTTGTCTTTGATTCCCCTTCAGATTTGCAGTCCATTGTTTACGTTGTTTTTCTACTATTTCATCGTTGTTTGTGCCTTCATACTTTGTCTCCGTTCACATTCACAGAGCAAAAATAATCCATTATTTTTTCCGTACATGTTTGTCTCTTTGACGATAATTCGTTTACGTGTTAAAGATGGCAATGAATTGACAAAAATAAAAATTATTGATTTTTTTTTAGAGGAATTGTGCAAGACTCCCGACGGATCACAAATCTTAACGATCGCCTGAAATCAATATCCATTGTTTTCACATTCACTTAATGTTTCTGTGATGTTTTACGAGATTGGAAAATATGGACAAAAAAGGAATAATTAAAATTCTATTCAATGATTTTATCTGAAATAAAAAATCTGATTTTATGGTGCGCTTAATCGAATTGAATGCATGCGCCCATGCATTAAGACACTCGACATCGTACAGAGCAAAAAAAAAAAACTATTAACTTTTATCGCAAGAATAAATCGAAATGTACCGTTTTTCAAAACGATATCGCCAAAATCTCTATGTACGGCAATGAAAATAAACAATACGCCTCTATCTCTGCATGAAACGGCAAACAATCTACTATCTCTTTCTCGACGCGATTTCATTGAAAATAAGCGAGAAAAAAAAATATACAAGGGTGACATTGAATTATGAAAATTTGATGTTATACATTTAGTGATTGTATCCCGGTGTGTGTGTAAAACTATCCAAATGCAAATATGAAATGGTTTTTGACTGAATCGTTTTAGAATTTAGAGCGCCAGGACGTTAAGGACAACAAATAGAGAGAGAAAATTATTCTTGAAACTTATTATTTTTATTTTATCCGAAAATGGGATCCTATCAGACTCAGGGACGTCGACGACGATGAATGCAGGCAAACAGAAAGAAAAAAAAAATTCAATAAACCACAAACATTATGAAAAATGATCCCTTTTTGAAAAATGCAGCACAAATTCAGGAAATGAGTGTGTTTGTGTTGTGCTATGCGCAAACAGAGAATGTTCGGATACATGTAGGATACGCACAGAGAGGATCATTAAAAATAAAGGACAAGGGAAAAATAAATGCTATAATTTATATCCAGTTTTTCATTTAACAAACGCACACCATTGCATTTGTAATTTTAGTCATGCATTCACTGATACATGCACATGAATGTGGTGGATGGTATAAAACCGATCAAGTCGAACGAGAAAAGTTATAATAAACAACATAGAAAACATGTTTTGGAGGGGGTTTTCTGTCAAATACCATTACACGAACAATAATTTCATGTGTATTGAATGCAAAGGATCTACGATAGAGAGAGAGGGAGAGACCCGGTAAGAGAGAGTGTGTGAGAGAGAAGGAATGAATCGACTTGTACAATACCACACATATACACTAGACGAATGAAAAAGAGTATCTGTGCGTACTTGCTGCACTGAATGTGCGTATGTGTTCGATAGGTGAGGGTATTTTTGTTTTGAAGTGTAAGTGCTTTTTGCTTCTCCCGATCACACATAGCACAACGAAAGAATATGCACAGCATAACAGAACGGAAAAAATTATACGTGGAAAAATAGTGAAGTAGTTTTTATTTTATTATAGTCATTTGAGCATTGAAGACAGCGGGCACGCGACACACACACCAAAGTCTCGTTACACTATATTGTAGATGATTATTGTTGTTGGGCCAAAAGAAAAGAAATTAAACAGCTGGCTTGACGGTTGTTCAATTCAGATAGCAAGAGCCAGTTACTCAACGACATTGGAAGCAGAACAACGCGCGTGCGTATCCAACAACATACAGTTTGTCTTTTTTTTTCGTGTATTTCGTACGAATTGTATATAAATCGAGAGAAGAAAAAAGAAAACGACGATCCAAAGAGAAAACTCAGAAGAATAAAAAGAAATATAAGTTGAACGAATACCATCGAAACAAAAGCGACGGCGGCACAACGAAGAATACACCAACCGAATTATTATTCTTAATTCGGTTTTTATTTAGTTGATTTTTCTTCATTTTCGGGATGTGCATTGAATTCATTATACGTGAATGCTTCGACTCACTATTTTGATTCATGATCATTGTTAACACGCGCTAGTCGCAGGCGGTATTATCTTGTCTCATTTTTTTGTTCATCTTAATTGACGTTCACGATTTACATATTTATTTGTGTTTTGATGAAAAGAATCAGAAAGAAAAGAAACAGACACTTAACATAGGCACGGGCCTCTGAACAATTTGAACAATTTTTCGGTGAATAAAAAAAGTGAACACATTGGAAAAATAAAAAAACGTAATAAAAAGTAACGATTCAGACGCAAAAAAAAAAAACATTTTAATCAAAAGTTTGTTCGATTCGCTGGAAATACCATTCGATCGTAAATTCCAAGGAAATAATCAGTGATAAGAATAAACAAGAGCGACATTCAAACGTTCATTTCTACACTGGTATTGAACTCGAAAGTAAATAGTTAAATAATTGATTGTGCGCTTTTATCTATGACGGTGTTGGAGCTACGTCGTTAACTTAACAACCTTCGCATTAACAACGTGTATTTAAATACATGTCACACATAAATTGAATTGCTTGTGATAAGCACGTGTGCGCGCGCAACCACAAAACGCAGATAATAAACGCAACTTGAACAAAAATCCTATATTCATTTTGGTTTTGGAGGTAAAACGCATTTATTGATAAACGAAACCGAACATCAATCAAATAAAATGGCAACTATCAGTGTTCTATCGTATGGGAATCCATCAGTAACGCAAACATTGGCAAACAACAATGGAATTAAAGTTTCGCTTGTTAGCCGAACAAAATGTTCGCCAGCGGCAGCAACAACGGCACTTCAAATCAAATCGAATAACATAAACAATAACAACAATTTGAACAAGACGAATTTAAACAATACAAAACCGAATAACAAACGTTCGTACAATGCAATGGCTAAAAAACAGAAGGCACTACCATTAACAGAGACAAACACAAACATTTTGAATGCATCAAATACACCATCGTCCAATTCGTCGGCTCAACGATCGGCAAAATTGGCCAAAACATTAAAACGTCCATTGCCTGAAATCGATACGACCGCTTTGTGCCGTGCAAGTGGCGGAAAATCGAAAGTATTTCCAATGCCATTGGCAGTAGCACGTCGAAATGCACGTGAACGTAATCGTGTGAAACAAGTAAACAATGGTTTTGCCGCCTTACGTGATCGCATCCCAGAAGAAGTGGCCGAAGCTTTTGAAGCGCAAGGAAACGGCCGTGGATCAATTAAGAAATTAAGTAAAGTCGAAACACTTCGCATGGCAGTTGAATATATTCGTAGTTTGGAGCATTTACTTGAAATCAATCATGATTCAGACCAATCAAATATGAGCAGCGATTTTCAAATGGCCAATGAATCATATCAATTGTCCGACACATCATCGGTTTTGTCAACATTAACACCACCTCCATCAGATAATATATCGAGCGGCAGCTTTGACGAATCAGATGGACTGCCCGACATCACCGTCATCGAGGGACATCAGTACATTCGAATTCCAGGCACAAACACATATCAATTACTTGATACCACAAGCGGTGACGAACAGTCCATGGCATACGAAAATGATGAAAACATTGAACCAATGATGCAGACCAATCCACAAACCGTTCAAAATTTAATGTTACAACAACAACAACAACTACAACAGCAGCAACCATCACCACCAATCGACGAATACACAACTGATTCCATTAACTGTTACAGTAATGATGTATACAACAGCCAAATTCATATCTTAACACCTGCATCAATATCACCGGGTGCATATAGTATGCAATCTTCAACGGCTGGCCTATCACCTGCTTTGCATGATACGACCACATCTACAATACCATTAAATGGAACACAATTTCTAACAACAACAACAACATCAACCGTTTCGGAATTAAAAAATGTTTGCTCACCGTTGCCTTCCATAAACGACAGTGCCTTATACACGAATCCATTGGCCGATATTCCGATCAACCAACAACAGTATGAGGGTATACTCACATTACAAACAAAACTAAAAGACGACATCGATCTCAGCGATGAGCATGCTCTATCCGAAGAAAGCATGATCGAAGCAATGAACTGGTGGAACAGTCATCAATCCAATGAACAAATCAATATTCATGATTCGTAGTCATGTTTTTCAAAAAGGAAAAAACAATTTACATTGATGCACACACGGTTTTATTTTTCGACTAAAAACACTTTATTAGGTAAATGTACATTTGTAAATTAATTCGATTTGGCCTTTGATTGGAATAGTTCTCTTTTTATACTTGAAATGAATTTCATTTAAGAATTTATATATTTGAAAGAAAATTGCACATTGCCACCTCGGACAGAGTCTGTTAAATAGCCAAAAACATTGCCAAAAAAGATACAATGACAAAATTAGCTCAATTTTTCCAATTTCTTATTGAATCTTTTCTAGTTATAATCATAATTCACTTGCAGAGGTGGCTCTGTGCAATGCAAGCAAAATTCTCATTTGCGCTAAAAAAAAATAAAATAAATTTGATATATTTTATTTATATAAATATATTTTTGGACGAACTAAATACCAGTGAATAATGATAATAAATAATTTAATTGCATAACATAGATGATAGTATCGCAATTAGATTTTAGAAGAAACGAAAATTCTTAATCATACTTTGGCAGCTAGTAATTTAATATAAGTAAATCTAAATATGTTCGAATATGCTTTTGAAGAGTTTTTGTTTCTTTATTATCCTATCTCTATCGCTATAGCGCTTATATAATAATGTAACTATTTCATTTCATAAATCATTCATTTTTTTAATCGCTAATTATTATTTATTTAATTATTGTAATTTATAATGAGTAAATGTCAAAATTGGCCATACGCATAGAATAATATATATTTAAAAGTAAATAAACACTATTTTCATATATCAAATATATCGTGAGAAGACAAAAAAAAAACCAGTAAATTCAAAATGTTTTTAAATATGACTGTTACGAGAAAGTTTTTCAGGGCGACTCCATTGTAACGATGCTTTTTTCTTATTGGAATCAAGGGTGAGAGGTAAAATTGGACTTTAAGTTTGATCGGTCTTTGATCCTTTTCTCTGTTCATCATTCTTCTTTTCTTTTCGTTTTGTTTCTTTCAGTCTTCGTCTTTTTCTTTGTTCCTCTTTTTTCGTCATCCTTGAGAGAATTCAAATTTCATTTTAATTTCTACCACCAAATTGAATTTCAAATCATTAATATACCAATGCATTTTCACAAAAACAATAATAGAGGAAACTCAAAGATCATCAGACATTTTAATTGATTTTTGTCATATTTTTGTTTCGTGCATACATTTGGTATTCATTTAAAGTTTAAATTCAAAACTGAAAAATTCCTGCTATCGTCAATGTCACACGGACTTATACAATGTGCACTTATCGCTCAAAAATCGAACACATGTGAGAAAAGATGCATTTTTCCGTTAAGCAATAATAAAGTGTCTTATGGTTTATTAACACAAACGATGTGTTTGGTGCTGAACTCTAATTTTTCGAAGTGTAAAGTGAAACATTTTCTTGCCATCCGACTGCGACGATAAGAATTACGACATTTTTCCGTATTTCTTTTACACTAATCGAAACTGCACTTTATGATGGAATTTGACACAGACACAATATATCCGATTTCACATGGGATACATTGTGGCTCGATTTAATGTACCTACATCAATTAACATCGTACGACCAACGGAATGATGGCGGCAGCAAAGACAACGACGAATCCACAATATATGTTTGACTGTGGGTTTATCAATTAATTACTCTCTGGAGAAGTTTTATTACAAATTCGTTCATGTTAAATTGATACAATTCGTGCGAAGTCAGAGAGTTCAGTAGCGAAGAACGGATGTCAGATATGAAATAGGAATAGAATTGGACTGTAGCGGAAAAGCACACTAAGTAATAAATTATAATCGTTGCCATCCGAATGACGAGCAATAAATACCAAACTGAAATATTTTTTACAAGAAATTTTTGTGATATCCTCTCTTATCGGATATGTTTGGAAATTGAATGATGTCAATGATGTGTTGTGAACCAAAATATAATTGCCTAAAATTCAAACGAAACGAAATATTAATCAAGTTTTATGATCGTCAACGAAGCAGAAATTTCATTGAATCTCCTTTTCAAAAGGATATTCTTGTTCTCATTGCTGCTGTTGCTGCTTCAATTCCATTTCAGAGTTTTCATGTGTAAATCATCATCGTTTTTTAAAATCCATACTTAAATGTTCTTTTTTTGTGTTGAGCAAAAATAAAAGGTATACGTTGAATAGCATATCAAGCCAATACTTGTTCTGGTTGTGTATGTGTACGTAAAGAGTGGAAAAAAGCAAGTTTTATTCGTTCACTGTGCGCGCTAAGTGAATTGAAAACGAGTATTTCGCAATGTTGAATATAAATTTTAATGTTTCGGCGCATAACAAAAGGCGCACAATGGTAGCATGAACAGGATTCGTGCGCAAGCGCAACGAAAAAAAATAAATGCAACTCCTAAGCGATTTGTTGATGGGGATTGTGTGTGCGTGCGCGCGTATATATAGCGCACAGGACAAAAACCCGAGAGAGCAAAACGAAAGGACCCGTCGAGCCAGACGTTATTATTTATTCTTTTTATTCAAGAAAAAAAACTTTTATTATTATTTCTGTTTGGTTGTTTTTTTTTATGTGCTCGGTATGTTGATTTTATTCGCTGGTTATTCTCTCGTTTGGAGACGGCATGGAGGGCATATATCCATTCATTTGTGCTTTAATATGTTATTTGCACGCTCGGTATGGTTTAGTTCCACTCAGCGCGCTCATACTGATCCAATTTGTAGTGCACTAAAGTGGTAATGAAAGCAGACTTTTGCATATGCCATGCACAGACAAGTGATGCAAGCCACGAACAACACACACTGCAATATCAAATACACAAGTACCAGCAACAAACACTGAACAAGTTTTCATCATTCGAATAAATGATTTGGCAAAAAAGAACACACACATTTACAAAACAGTGAATTAAAAGAAAAAACTGCCACTAATCTCAAACATCGAGTCTCAACTCAGTCGATCCTTTGTGTTTTCGCAATTGTATGGATTCACTCGCACTATTTTGAACAAGACTCTGAATACATTCAATAGGCAATGCTTTTTTCACTTCTTTTTCTCTGGTTGTTCGTCCTTTTTTTGCGTTTAACATTCGAAACGAAAGCGAAAACAGAGAATTGCACCACAGAAATGTAAAAGTAGATAAAAAGAAAACAAGTTTAAATTCGCTATTGGGAAATTACATCGAAAATAAAATAGGTGTTTTTTTGCTCGCATTCATACTTGTTTGCTTTTCATTTGCAAGAGATAAAGCACTTTAACTATGATTTAAAACAACATTTTTCTGAAAACACTTTTTTTTTGCTTAAAACCAGTTTTTTTTTCAAGAAGTGTCATTTAACTTATTTTTTATGTACTTGGGTGATTCGGCATGAAGCATGTAAAATCATGGTGATGCAGGAAGTATTGGGATTTTAGCTAGTCGATTTATTATAATATTTTACGAAAAAAACGTATTAAAACGACTTTCTTTTAGTGACTTTCATTTCCGACCAATTTTTAAAACTCTTTCCGTTTTTTATTATCAAACGGAAAATTCCCAATAATAAAAATGAAGAATAAATTTAGCATTAAAACCGTTATATGAGTGAACCGTAGCAAAACCCGCCCTCTCAATTGGAATCATTTCTCTTTTTTTCGATGTGTAAGCCTTTCTGTGCCAAAAGTTTATTTATGTGACATCTAATCCAAAGCCGACGTATACAAACAAGGAAGGTAACGAATTTTAATTATAGTTTGATTCGAAATTCCCAAAAAAGGATTTAATTCAAGGTTGATCGAAGGGATCGGTTTGTGTTAGTTTTTTCACTTTCAGAATGTCACATCTCTTATTCACTACAATTTGATTTCTCCATGGTTGCTTTTTTTTCCAATTCAATGCATCGTCCTGTATGTCACAGGTAAGATTTGGTTGCTACTTGTATCGTAAGTGAAATGGGAACACATCCGTTCGGATCTTTCCGAAAAACACGACAAAATGTAAGGAGAATGAGATGAAATGAGTTCCGTGAAAAAAATTATTGACCTTTTATTACGAACAATGCGAGCGCAATCACTTCAATGCTTCACCCAGTACAATGAGTCTGACGGAGAAAAATTGTGAAGAAATCTGAAAGATAAACACAATACATTTGATTGCTTATTCAATTCAACTGTTTTTTTATTCTTCTTTTCTCTTTCTTTTATCATAGTGTTCATTAGAGGTACGACGCATGCAGTGAACACGCCTGAATCACGAATTATTTCCTCTTAAAAGCAAATAATAGTGTGTGTAGTGTATACAAGCTAATAATTTACGAAAAGAAAATATTTGTTGACACCTTTGATCGATCAAATGACTGGCAGCTAATAAAGAATTTTGAAATGCTGTCTTGGAAGGAGGAAGTATAGACGTCATTCAATTTTCATAAAGACTTTTTTTTTTGAATTTTACAAATGAAAATTATCGCTAATAACATAATTTGGTGTGTCAATTAAACAAAGAATCAATCCTTTTCGCTATTTAAATCAAATTTCAATGGAAAATACATTCGAGAACCGGATTTTCAGGATTTATGATAGTGATATCTGATTCTACGTAAATTAACTTTATTTTATTTCAAATTTTAACACCGCGTAATGAAAAACAATCATTTCAAATGTTTTAGTACTTTCATCGCCTGGTTCAACGCGTATGCACTCAAATGAGAATATGTTCTTACAGCATACTATGATGAAAATTAGAATACAATGACTCGCATTTTGAGGTAGGATCAAAACGAGAATTTTGCCTCGCCAAAACTTTTCTCTCTTTTAGATGGCTCAACACAGATTAGACATTAGAATGGTGAAGAGGTTCATTTCACAGATTTATCTCTTGAAGGATGTTAAATCATTTGAAAAAAAAAACGAACCTTTTGTAATCGTATTTATTCGGCATGTTCCAAAAAAAGCTGAACCTTGAACATATGTTCAGGTCAATTTTCAGCGGTACAGCAAAGCTAAAAATCATAAAAACGTGATATTAAATGAATGACATTTGATACGTCGCGTTATCCATCATTTTTAAAACTAAAGGACAATAGATTCTTTTTCCCTGCCATTGTCGATGTTTTACTATCAAAGTGTGTAACGGGATTTAGAGTAATTTTACGGTAACCGAAATTCTATTTTCATAATAGATGCTGGCGATGATAGAAAATTGAAAATAAAAAAATGTTTTGTCTAAATTTGAATTGGAAAATAAGACCCACGAACTGAAATAGTAATCGGCATCGAAATTCTGTTTTATTTTATCCCGAGGCTTGGCGTAATCTTTTTCCTTCTCAATATGCTTTTGTTGTAGTCAATTGATGTTTCAAAATAAAAAAAATGTTGATGGTAACGTTTAATAAAAATGCCGTTATTGTCAGTTCAGTCACGCAAACAATATTCATCCGAGTGTGCATTATGTGAACAAAAACTATGGGACCTC